CCATGCACCACGGCTTCAAAGCCCGAAAAACATTTCTAAATGTGATCGCGAGTAGTGTTTAGGTTTGGCAGCGCCCTCATCGGTAGTTGAACTGGCAAATACCCAAATGAAAATGACTCTAAATTAGAGCGCTAAGATGGGAAACCCAAATTAAAACTCACTCTTGTGACCCAAAAGTTTATTTTTCTAGGAATGGGTCGCACCAAGCGGCACCGAAGCAAAAACCGGCACCAGCCGAACAGCCTCAACCTGAGCAACGATCCTGCGGCCATCAGCCTGAAGCAGTGGCTGAAAAGCCACGAATTTGCTGATCCGCTGAAGCTGCAGCTGCGCAGCTTTGCAGACACCGGCCGAGGCGTCACCTCCACTAAGTCCGTGCGGCCCTTAGACGTGCTGATGCGTATTCCCTTTGACTTGCTTATCACCTTTGATACGATCCGGAAATCGAAGTTAGTGGGCCTGTTGACGCGACCTTTATCCATCCAGACGCTTCTAGCCTTGTTTCTGGTCAAGGAGAGGCACAAAGGAGCGCAGTCCGAATGGAAGAGTTACATTGACTCGCTTCCCTATCCCGAGCCGGGCTTGCCCTGGATGGAACATCCGGATGAGATCGAGCTGTATCCTGAAGACCTCAAATATCTGGCCAGGAATCTGCAAGGCAACTTCCAGGAGTGTTTGGAAAGCGCCAGGAAGGCCTTGGCGGTTGACAAAGGCTTGGAGTACCTTCTAGAGGAACCTTCGTTAAGGTGGGCGTATGTTCTGGTCAACACCCGAGCGGTTTATGTTGATCCGGAGTATTTGATGTCCAAGGACAGTTCCAATGTGGAGCTGTTGGCGGACGCCCCGTTTCTGGCTTTGTGTCCATACCTGGACCTGATTAATCACCATTATTTGGCCAAAACGAAGGCCACAGTGGTGAGTGTTGAAGGCCGCGCGTTCTATGAACTTGCAAGTTTGAGTGGCTTTAAACGGTATGAGCAGTTCTTCATTTCCTACGGCGCACACAGCAACGAAAAGCTGCTGATGGAGTACGGCTTCTTCATCCCGGGGAACCTGTTCGACTTTGTCCGGATCAGCCTGCAGGAAATCCTGGACAGTGTGGCCGTTTCCCTGGATGATCGACAGTACAAGTACATAAAGAACTACGAGTTCCATGCGGATGATCTCTACGTGAACGAAAACGGGGCTTCTTTCGTGCTCAAAGCCATCCTCTTCGTCGGTTCCTACCCGAATATTGTCGACTATGCTTCATACATATTTAGCAATCGGTACCCAAACGACTTTGAGCAGGTTCTGAGCCTGAGCACCAGGCGACTGCTGGAGTTCAAACTGGCAGCCTACAGGAAGGATGTGAAAATCCTGCCGAAATCCAACAGTGAAGTGATGAACGATTTTCTGCGATACCGCGTGCAGTATGTGGAGCGATTGTTGAACTTGCTGGACGAAAATAAGTTGTGTTTTTCCTAATCCTCTGTGATTGTTGGCAGCCAAAGAACAAGTGCTAAGAGGGGTGAGCGGGCTATTGTTCGGAGCCGCATTAAATGCTCATTTAGCCACACTTGTGTGGAGGGTGGGTTTCAGCTGCCTTTGTTTGCGCTCTATTGGAAATGCATTCATCTCAACTCTGTAATGTTTGGAATTATTGTTTGGACCGAGCACATGTTTTATACAGGGTTTCCTAAAGACGATATGTTCCAAAAATGAACCAAAATACAAAGTATTTAAAGTACCATTTATTATTTTTATTCTACATTTTAAAGCTCCGATAGGTCGAGGTTTGTTCGCATAGACCAACGACTTCAAACATCCCTATAAAAACAAATCTGCTGGAGTTAAATCGCGGCTTTCTGGAGGCCAATTGACAGTTTTTCAATCATTTCTGGAGATTGTTGATTCACGAACTGGTCTTCTAATAATGTGATAGTGRCACTGGAACATRCGACGTGGCTGCATCTGGTTGAAAYYACAAGTCCAAGTGAATTGGGGCCATAAAAAATATGTTCCAAACTTCCATCGATAGCGCCATTATGCTGAMTAAYCAAAGCATCAGCTTCATTTTRAAAAAAAATATGGTTCCATCCAAGAACCCGGACCGAAACGAAATAACYGTTCCGTTCCGGTTTCAGTCCAAGGCAAAATTTAAAATTTCGGTTCCGTTACGGTTCCGGTTTAAAAAATAATTTCCAATTCGGTTCCGGTTTKTTTCGGTTCATTACGATTCCAAAATCTATATACAGAGTGGCCATTTTCTGAATCTTYGTATGRGTAACTTCTACATTTTTAAAGATAGAGAATCCGTCAAAYCGGCAAAATTGGGCAGAATTCGATTGCCTATTCATTACCGTTTTCAAAATTTAGGTACCCGACTTGGTTCCTGAAATATCCTGAAAAAAACAACAAAGAAACACTTTTTTAATTATCACTCATTACGTAAACTTAGAAAAAAGTTAAAACTGCCCTCGTTGTCATAGTCAACTTAATTTACGAGATAAAAAATAAACTTATGGTTTTTTAACTGGTTGGCTGTGGGCCTTTTAAAATCCTTATTTTTTTCTGAATTTAACGATATAATTGTTTGTATGTTTTCTCCTTTTGTTGCCGTAAAACTTCAAAAGAAGATAAGAATCTGTAGTAGGCTATGGAAACAAGAACTATATTATCACACAAAGCACAAATTGAAAGTTAGTTATATAGGCGTTGTAAGGTGGACATATTTTTTCAAAGGATTTTTTGGTGGTACCAAAATTAACTCGGGTAATACTTCGATCTCAGTAAAAAGCATCTGCAAAAAAATTTGTTTTTAAACGTTAATTCATTTTTAAATGAAAAGTAGATTTTTAAAAATTTTTGCAAATAAAGCGTATATTTTATTTAATCTTTTTATAATTGAAATAATAATTTAATTAAAGTTTTTATTTATACATTTTATCTAGTTTATCAGTTCTTTTGTTCTTTAAGCACGTACTTCTGACCCATGTTTTGTTTTTGATTTTAGAATATTTTATTTTATCTAAAAGCAGTAGTTAAAAATTATTCTTTTAATGAACTAAATCATTATTTGTCATTACTATTTCTACAACCATCATCATTGCGCATGTTTAATGAAAATTTTTAAAAGTAGCATGTTCCTTTTGGAACCGCATTTTGAAACCTATTACCAACGTGAACTGGAACGTTGTAACCTTGTTACAGAAAAATAACCGTTTATCCCACCTCTAGTTACTAATTCCACACATACATTAATTAGATGTTTCTCTGTTATATCCACTTTAATGGTATTCATATCACTTAAAGATGGTTGAGTTGATGGTTGTTTTGTGTTTGTCTCTACTTCAAATTGTTTTTCGCAAAATCATGTGATCGAACAAGGTGTTTCTTTAAATTTGTGGCGTGATGACCCTTGATAATAGATACAGTTCAATTCACAAACAAGGACGATCACGGGATATTTAGAATTCCTATAAATTAAGAAAGTTTTAATAAATCTATTTAAAAAAAAAGACAGAACAAAATGATTAAAAAAAGACATTCTGTAGACACTGAATTATAAGACCAAATAAAGAATATGAGGTTCAACGTTTTAGTCGGATATTTCGGATATTCTAGATCGGAAGTTCTAGATATGACGTGATTTTACGAGATGAGCGCAGGCTTGTAAAACGTACAGTAATTTCTTTCAAACGTTACAAGCAGAACCGAAAAAACCGAAATAAAATATTTCGGTTCCGGTTCAGCACCTAACAGCGTGTTAATATCAAATATGGGTTCGGTTACGGTTCCGGTCCAAAAAAAAAACGGTTTCGTTCCGGTTTTGGGTCCATATCGGTTCCGGTCCGGGTCCCTGGTTCCATCATGCCCCCACTCTACAGGGTGTGTAAGCCCCATCAACATTAACTTTTCCTGAATGGAAAGGTTTCTCATTGTGGATTATTTCACACCAAAAACGACTAGGGGAACTAGGGGGGTATTAATGCAATCATGCATAGTTATTGCTGACCGACTGACCGAATTAAAGTGAATAATAAAATTTATATAACAATAACAAAATGTATGTACAAAGCACTTGAGCCCTTTGATTGGTCCTAGTTCACATCGGCCTCTCCAGTCTGGTCGTACTTGATCAGTGTCACATCCTCTTCATCCTCCTGAAACGAGTCCTCACAGGAACTGACTGGCTCCTCCGCAGCTAGCGCCGCCTCACTGCTGGTGGAGGCCGGAGAGTCTGGAACTAGATTCTCCCCTGGATGCAAGTCCACCATGTGTCGGCTCTTCAAGTGTCTCTCTAGGTCACGCCTCCGGACCAAAATCTTGCCGCACAGATCGCATCTAGATGGAATCCTAGTTAGGCAAATGGAGGAGGAGTTGAACCAGAGGCGTACTTGTAAGGGGTGTTTCCTTCCGCGTGCAGCCTGACGTGCTTGTTCAGGTTGCTGGGGTCTCCAAAGGGGCGGTCGCAAAACTTGCACCTCAACGGCTTGTACCCTGTGTGGGTCCGGATGTGGATCTTAAGCCCGTATTTTCGGGAGTAGCACTTGCCGCAGTAGAGGCAAATGTGCCCTTGCTTGGCCTTGCCCAAGCTGCTTACCTACAGGGTGTTGCAGTTACGGATTACCCTCTCATCTCCCCCTAGTGGAGCTTACCAGACATTCAATGCGCGCATCATCCGTATAGATGGCCTGTGTATTGTTCAAGGCCTGGTTGTGCATCAAGTTCCGATGCAGCTGCACTACATCTGTTTCGAAGGTCACTGGCCACAAGGCTGGCACCTCTTGACCTGGCCGGGGGTTGAGGCTGGGGCTAGTATTCCCGGTTAACTCAATGCTTTGCTTCCTGCAGCCAAAAAATCGTTTCCCTCCCATCCAACACGCAAAATGTTAAGCTACTCACTTAAACGGCTTGAAGGCCGAACACCCGGTATACGGCCGGTAAATTGCTTTGGTTGGTTGGGAGCTGATGCCGCCCACTGTTAAATCCAGGGCGATTTTCTGCTTGGAAATCGGGTCCGGGACAGTCAGTTTGAAGTCGAAGTCGCTGATTTTTGGCCCAACGTTTCGGGCAAACTGCGGGTCCCTCATCAGGGCGGCCAGACGCTCCCACAGCGCGGAAATGGGCAGTTTGCCGCACGCCAGTGTGATATGCAACTTGAGGGGATTGGGCGACTCGTAAAGGGTGGAGCATCGCAAGCAGGTGTACTTGTTTTCGCCTGGAATGGAGGTAAAAAGTTATACAGGGTGGCGGCAAAAAGCGCAGCCGGTAGGATTCGAACCTACGCTCCCAAAGGGAATCTGATTTCGAGTCAGACGCCTTAACCACTCGGCCACGACTGCATAAAGTTTGCTAGGGCAGATGGGGTAGGAAATTTAGGACAGTTTCTGCATAATTTTTTTAATATTTTTTACCGAAAATGATGCGTTTTTGAAAATGCTGCAGGGTT